TTCAGCCAGCTCCAATAGCTCCTGCAAATGACGCACCTTCTCCTCGCTCTGAAAAACACACAGGTTTAGACTTGGATTACAAATCAGATTAGATTAAGAGTACAAGTACAGAGCCAATGAAATGCAGTTCTTCGCACATCCCATCTTGCTAGGGTCAGAGCGCAGGGACAGCCATGATACGGTGCCCCTGGAACAGATGTGGTTAAGGCCACCACTGCCACAAACCATGGATTCGCACCAATAAAGCACATGCAGAGTTTACATACTTGCACCCTGTCTCTACACACCATACGTACATTACAGAAGACTCCCCCGAGAGAAATCAATAGAGTATAAACTAGACAGATCTAAACACAGAACAGGTGAACACAACCAGGCAACAAACCAATGACAGGGGTGGAGATAGTATTACAGCAGAAAACCAAAAGAAATATGATAATCTGGTGGACTCGACCTGTCGGTGGAGCGAGTCCTTGGTGGCCAGCTCATTCTCCAGCTTGTCATTCAGGTCGTGGATGGAGGTTGTTTCACGTTGTGCAGCCAGGTAGCGCTTCTCCAGCGTTGTGATTCGCTCCTCCATGTCCTCCTTCTGTGCCATCGCCTGTTGAACAGGCACATAGTAAGAGCAAAAAACACTCCAGGAATACAGGATTTATATATGCATAGACTCCCATTTACTGTTAAATATATTTCAACTTTCAATACTGTATACATTAAAGGGACGGTTTGTAATGTTTAGATGGTGCATTTCATTGCAGCTGCAATGAAAACATTGAGAATCTTGCTTATACCAGTGCTGTTGAATTATCGAATCTGAATGGTCATGTGTTGATACATTTACTGTAACGGCAGCTGACAATAGTGCTGACTGCAATGTTTCTATCTACAATACGTCATTGTTTCTATAGTAACAACTTACAAAAAGAGTTGGGGGGGTGAAAACTTTTGAACAGAATGGAGATGTGGACATGTTTTTCTTATTTTGCCTAAATATCATATTTTTTCATGTAGTACTGCCCTTCAGAGGCTACAGAAGATAGTTACATGTTTCCCAGCAGACAAAATAAGTTAAATTTACCCTGATCTTCAAATACAAAAAGTTTTCACCCCCCGGCTCTTAATGCATGGTTTTTCCTTCTGGAGCATCAGTGAGCGTTTGAACCTTCTGTAATAGTTGCATATGAGTCCCTCAGTTGTCCTCAGTGTGAAAAAGATGGATCTCAACATCATACAGTCACTGTTGGAAAGGGTTCAAATACACAAAAATGCTGGAAAACCAAAGAATTTGTGGGACCTGAAGGATTTTTCTGAAGAATAGCAGGCAGTTTAACTGTTCAGGACAAACAAGGGACTCATGAACAACTATCACCAAACAGAAAAACACAGCCGTGGATCATTCAGGTAACAACACAGTATTAAGAATCAAGTGGATGTAAACTTTTGAACGGGGCCTGTGAAATATCTTATTCAGGTCAGCACTAAATAAACAATAACATGCATTTTGTATGATTCGTCTTATTTTGGTAAAAAAATTAACATTTTGCAGATTCTGAAAGGAGGATGTAGACTTTTGACCTCAACTGTATATATATATATATATATATATATATATATATATATATATATATATATAAATCTTAGGTAAACAGCTGTGGTATGAGAGGAATAAAACACTTCAGGATGTATTATTATTGGAAAATAATGAACTTTGATGTGGTAACAGTAACTCCGCTTTGCATTAGGCCACATTACCCACCCTGTAAAGATATTAAAGCTAGCCAAGGTGAAATGACATGATCCCTACAGTCTCAGGATATCTTATTTTCTTTCGACTGGAAACATGAATATAGTGTACATCTGAAAATTATTTGTGGTGCATTACTGTACCTTTAATTAACTTTTGGGAAAAAAGCTTTCAAGGTATCCTAATGTGCCATTGAGGATACCTTTCTTTGTGGACCACCACAGCTTCAAACTGCCTAGCAGCAACTTACCGTCTGTAACTATCATTAAAGCTAAAGTAGGATATTCCGATAAACACAGTCCCTCTGTGTGTGGGTGTGTGGCTTACACTAACCTCGCGGATGTCTCGCTGGTGTTTGGTGTTGAACTCCTCGCTCTTCAGCAGCTCCTTGCGCACATTGGCGAGTTCGCTCTCTAGCTCAGCCACACGGGTATTCAACGTGTTAGCACGCTCACGACTCGCCGACAGATCTTTATTCGCTTTGTCTAGCAGTTCCTGCAGCTCCATAGCGCGAGTGGAATCATCATGGACATCTATGGAGCCATTAGGCAGCCTCTGTATTGAACAAAAATAAGCATAGAGACATGAAAGTCACTGTATTGCCGTACTGCTGTTCTTGAGGACTTTTTTTTTCACAACTCGGAAATGTGAGTGATACGCCAAAGAAGTGGCCAGCTGTAGCTCAAAGCCAGGCTTGTGTAGTGGCAAACAGATTCTTGAGGCTTTAGTCAATTATTTGGAATTAAAACATTAAATAAAAAAATGTGTGTGTGTGTAAGACAAAGAAAAATTGTAAGTTTAATTGTAGTATTTTCCAGAACTTCAGGCAGGTACTGGAAAGGATAATGTATCTGAAGTGATTTTGTTGATGATGGTTGATGGTTAAAGGTTAGCATGACCAGCTGTGACATTAACTAGCTAGCAAGATCTTAGCTAACTTGCTAAGTAGCTCGCAAAGTACACTCATAAAATTTTACCAGCCCTCCTTGAGTCAATGTGTCATGTGAACCTGTCAGTGTTGTAAGACAGCTCACCTTCGTGGTTCACATTATTGCTTCCGTCCACGATTAATTGACTTAACATATTTCAGGGTGTCGTTTAATTTAAAATATGACTGACTACCAGGGTTGGGAGGGTTACTTTAAAAATGTCTAATGTTACAGTTACAAATTACTTCATAAAAAATGTAATCAGTAACCTATTGGATTACTTCAAGGTCACATATGTAAATAAAGTTAAGAGAAAAGGAATAGGAACAACATTAGCAGCGTCACAAGAGCATTTCAGAGAACAACGTTCGAGTTTCGACTGAAGCGATGATGGAAATGAGAAGTGACAGTGGAGCACATACCTGCAAGGGCAGTAAGCAATCAAATAATTTGAAGATCGTTATGTTAAACGATTAAGTTCTTTGGTTTTAAATGGAACAAATTGTAATCCTCATAGTATTCCCATTTTTTAAACAGATTAGTTACCAGTTTTTTTTTGTATCCTGGTTACGTAACGCCGTTACATTACGTATTCCGTTACTCCCCAAGCCTGCTGACTACAATCAGCGAGTAAATAAATATTCAAACATGTCTAAAGGTATAAACCGCGGATCATTAAGAACGCGCGTTAACGGTGATCCAAAACGACATCGTACCAATTATAAAACATCTTCCCATTTTGCAAACAAGCTGCATGAGACATTCTTAAGATACAATTTGAGCATGTGGGCAAGATGTGTGTGTTTGTGTGTGTGTGTGGAGTAATAACAGTTAACAATAACAATTATTTAATTCATAACAATTAATAAGTTAAACAGATAAGTTAAACACAGCAACTCAACTATTTTGTTTTTTGCATTATTTAGTATTTTACTATTTCTGTTTACATATTAATCAGCCTCATCGACCATTTTCCTCTGAAAAGGAAATTCGATCAGATTACAACCGCACACATCTGCACTTTATTCCAAATATAGTATATACTGTTGCTACCATCTATCTTTTATAACCTTTATGATGTATTTTTATATTTTTCCTTTTCTATACACGTATGCGTTGTATGCGTTGTAAACTCTGGTTGATGTAAATTCTATTTTTATGTCACTGGACAGTCATAAAACGCACGTCGTGTTGTGTATGGTTGTGTGTGTGACTAATAAAATTTGATTTGAGATAGCTTGCCCTTCTGGACATGTTCTAGCTAATTAAATATTGGAACGGCCGTCTAATAACCTTGGGGATTCCAACAAGGAGAAATGGTGCATGTTACGAATGCCTCTCGTTTCTTTAATTGCGCCTCCTTGCTTCCTTTCCTCGGTTCTTAGCTCCTCCATCCAAGGAAGCAGAGAAAGAATGTGAGGAAAGGAAATGAGGACAAGAAAGGAAATGTGAACAAGCATACTTACCAAAAAAGAGACGTTCTTGCTCATTGACGCATCCCTTTCATGCAACTTTACTGAAAATAACAATTCACTGATCGATGATGATGATTATACACTGAATCGTCCGTGAGTAAAATATTCTTACACATTTACATCAGACAGTTAAACGCTGATGTTTGATCCTAAAGATTCTACTCACCTCCTTTTTAAAGCATGGCTATTAAATATTAATTGACTTAATTCATTTTGCATTTGTGGTCCTTATTATTGTATTATTTATTGATGGGTGCATTTAGACTGCTGGCTTACATCACATGACAAAATAATAATAATAATAATAATAAAAATAAAGTTCTGTGTAAAAAAGCACCTGTGTATCCTCCGCTTTCCTCGTTCCTTGATTCCTCTGAATGCTTTTTAAGAATTTGAACTTCCTTACAGTTCGATTTTCAGTTCGATTTTCTAGGTCACAAGGTGAAGGAATCAAGAAGGCATGAATTACAGGTTTGGGCCGTACAGATTATTTGTGCTACACACTACAGAAAATGACATTTTATCAAGTTAAAAGATCTCGAATATAGTCAAATGTACCGAGTATTTCCGATTACAAGATTACAATACACCAAATATATAATTATTACACCTATTTCTAGACATTTGTACTCATTTTAAGCTTGAAATAATCTTGCTCTATTGGCAGAACCTTTTTTTTTAATGCATTTGTATCTAGAAAGAAGGAAAATTATCTGCCAGTGTTTTGTTCTTCCTTTGGCTGCTCCCGTTAGGGGTCGCCACAGCGGATCGTCGGGCCGCGTATTTGATTTGGCACAGTTTTTACGCCGAATGCGCTTCCCGACACAGCCCTCCTGTTGCACGCAGGACTGGTTGCCTGGCCGGGAATTGAACCTGGACTGTAGTGGTGAGAGCGCTGTGGCATAACCACTAGTCCTCCAGGGACCTCAAAATTATCTGCTAATAGAATAAGAAATTTTAAAGCTTGAAATATGCAAAAGCATCTAAAATAATAATGCTGAATAACAATATATTCTCATAATTTATATTATAATTATCTAAAAAAAGAATATATAATAAGAAATATAACAAGAAATGTTACAGTTTCATAATAAGAAATATTGCAATAAGAAATATTAGATACATTTGCCCATAATCAAGATATTTGTACTTGCAATGAAATCTTTTTTATTTATTTATTTATTTATGCTGACTTGTTTTCTGCCTGTATATGTCCAATTAAAACATAGATTTTTTTTCTTCTCTGAACTCTGAATCCTTTCCAAAAAAGATGCTTGCTAATACAGAAGGAGAATTTGTGTGCAACGTTTCAGGTCATTTGTGGGGGAGAATAAAAAATAGCAAGGCATGTAAGTTCCTCCCTCTTTAGCAGAAAGATGTTTACCTCCCTAGGCACTTTATTCAGCAGTATGGTTTTTAATCATCTTGACCTACAACTTGGCAGTGTGTGTGTGTGTGTATCACGGTTTCAGGCAGACGTTCCTTGCGCCTAGGTGGATGTTTGGTCTAAATCTGAATGAATTGCTGGAGGTTGATTAAAGAACCCTTCAGGGAGAAGACTAGATGTTGAATAACTCATCAACTCCCATGTCTTCTGTTGTCTTTAGAAATGCTAATACCTAATTCTCGATTAGATGTTTATACAGTATATTACAAACACTACTGCAGCGAAGAATACAAAGTTTCCAAAGACGAGGGTGGTTTCATCCAAAAGTTACTAAAATGCCGCTTTGATTGCATATTAGTGTGGAGTATGGACATGGCATAAGAGAATATTTAACAACCTTCCAGGCTGGCTTTGCGCTGTCCATTTTGTTGCCGTCTGTCTTTCCATCTCTTCCCTGTCGCACCATGGCGAGCTGTGGATACAAAGCACAAACGAAAAAGTTTTTTTTTTACAAAAAAAAAACAAAACTGCCTGTATTAGAGCAATGGTAGTTCAGCAGAGGTTTTAAACGGGTGATTGTTAGAATTGATGGAGTTAAATGAAGTTTAACTGTTTAATGTGGCTTTCGAATGAATTGCCTAATGCACATGCTTTCGAGCTGATTAATGAATTACCTAATGTGTGTGTGTGTGTGTGTTTGTAAATATCCATAGGATGGCACTCATCTGTGCTACCTGAACACAGCGAGGCCTAACACCAACATCAACCCTGAACACTTAAAGCTTATTAAAAATCATCAAGAGTATTCAGTGCAGTGTAATGAAGTGTGGGGCTCATTGTAATGACTACGTACACACTGGATCTTAAATAAGAAAGAGAGAGAGAGAGAGAGAGAGAGAGAGAGAGAGAGAAGGACAGAAAGCAAGGACAAGGATGAGAAAAGGAGAGGAAGGAAAAGAATGAGCTGTGAGACATTAAGCATGTGAGAGGATGGGTGAAGGAGCAAGAGAATGAAAGGAAGCATACGAGAAGACAAGGAAAGAGAGCGTAAGAGTGAATGAGAGAAGACAGGAGAAGGAGAGAAAGCGAAAACACAGGAGAGCACGTGAAGGTGAGAAAGGTTTATAGAGAGTATGGCACGATGAGAAAGAAAAGTTCTCAGGATGAGAGATGAAATGAAAACAGGGGACAAGAAAGGACGGCAAAGACAGAGGGCAAAAGAAAGCACGCAAGAAAATGGATTGAGAAGAGAAGGAATGAGAGAATGAGAGACAGCTTACTTGCAATGAATGAGAGAAGGGCAGCGAGTGAAAGGAGGCATAGCAGGGACGGAGGAATAGGTGAGGATGAGAAGAGGAAAGGAGGAGTAAGAGAAATCACATGAGGGGATGGAAAAAGATGAACGTGAAAGCATAGAAGAAAATGAAGAGAAGGGGAGAGAGAGAGAGAGAGAGAGAGCGATAGAGAGAGAGAGCAAACATAAGGATGAAAGAAGGAAAGAAACAGAGAGAAAATGAAAGGAAGAGGGTGAGGAAAGGACAGAGACAGTCAAGGTAAAAAATTAGAAAATGAAAAAAAAAGTGAAGGAAAAAAAAGGAAGAAAGATAGCGAGGGAGAGCATAGATGAGGCTGAGGAAAGAAAACAACTGAGAATGTGAGAATAAGGCAAGAGAAAGAGGAGGACAAAAGAAAGACAATGAGAAGAAGAGACTGACAAAGCGAGAGACAGAGCTCTCAGGAGCACACACACACACACACACACACACACACACACACACACATGGTGGCAGTAGTGCTGCTAAACACGTTGAATAACGTTTTAATACCTGCGTTAATATCAGTGGTTCATTAATTAATTCGTTTTTTTTTTTTTAAAGATTTCAACTCAACATTATCAAAGTTATTATACTTATTACTGAGTTCCTATAGTTATTATTCTGTTTGACTTTCAATTGGCTTAATCCAAACCTCACCAACTCAAAAACGAGTAGCCTTTAAATAATGTACACTTGGATCTAATGTGCTCTGTGGGTGGAAGGTTCAAGAATAGAAAGCTCTATAGACAAAACAGACAAAATATTATTATACACATTTACATAATGTTCATGAAATAAATCTGCATTGAGAGGCTTAATGGGATTTATCTTGCAACGAAAGTCGTCCCTGCAGCTCCGTGTCCTAGAAGCCTGGAGCATCAGGAATAGGCGAAAGCGTGATGAAATGCTATATCAAACTCAATCGTGCTAGAGGAGAAAGAACGAGGCCCAGATGTTCTGCTCAAAATGAAGCCATTTTAGGATTTTTCTCAAAAGTAGAACAATCCTCAAAATAACTTGCTCAGCATTAACCTTTATAAACTCAGCTAAGTTTCTTTAATCACATTGCTAAAAGACATTTCATTTTAAAAGTGCCTGGTCTTTATAAACACACACACACAC